TCTTTCCTCTATCTAACGCCCCTCTTTATACCCGTCTAGCATCTTAATTAACAAAGAAGATCTTGCTTAAAGAAGCTACTAATGTCCTTTTAACTACCGAGCTTTTTACCGGTTTTTCCCCTCCTTTCTAGCCGTTGCCGGCATATCCGTCTTATCTCTCGCTACCTCTATAGGAAGCTATCGCCACTTCTGCTTCCCCTTATACCCCTACCCTCCTTTCTGCACCTCTTTTTAGCTCCTTCTTCCTTCTTCTATACCGGGTGTTTTTAGCTTCCTTAGTCCCTCTTACTAAGGGATATCTCCGAGAACTGCGAAATCAGGCCACGCTTTGCGATACACCCCCTTAGCTATAGCGGGGTAGGTATAATTCCCTACTAATACCCTACCGATATATTAGTACTATATACCTAAGTGCTTTATTAGCCTATACCTCTTAGTAGCGCTCTTATACGGCTACCTTAGGATAAGATGCCTAGCCGTATACCTTCCTTAGCCGTAGTAGTAGTTATCTCGGTCTACCTTATTAGTCCTTTTTAAGAAGGAAAATAAGAAACCGGCCTTAAAGAGGAGCTAGTAAAAGGCTAAGAGGGTCGGCCTAGGCCTCCTTATAAGGTCCTTTTCTAGGCTAAGGGCTAGGCGGGGGGTCTTTTAAGTAAATATATAGTGCTTACCTAGTCCCTTAGCTCTAGGGCCTTTAGCCGCCTTAGTAGCCTAGAGTCCCTTTTAATAGTCCTTAGTAGCTTACTAGACCTTTCTTTATAAGTAGCTAATAAAAACTAAGGGGGTCCCTTAGGTAAGGGCCCCTAAGCCTCTTTTAGCTAGCTAGTCGGCTAGCTTATTACTAAAGATCCCTAGGTAGCTAGGGTATTAGTATAGCTATATATTATAAAAGGCTTCTAAGCTAGATAGGAGCCTTTTAATATATATAGCTAGGTCTAAAAAACCTATAACCTTCCTTATAGCGGCTTAGCTATCTATAAAGATATAGGTATCTATAAGGGGTTAAGGGGGCTAAGCTTTTAGGGCCGAGGCCTCCTAGCTAGGTCCTCTAGGACCCTTAGTATCGCGAATAGCTCTACGTTAGCTACTTCGATCGAGGGCCCTAGGTTCTTATAGTACGCTTTAATAGGCCTATTTTCTAGGCCTATTTCGTAGAAGGAGTAAGCGTTAGTCTCTATAGGGGACCCCTTAAGGCACCCCTTAGAGCCGTTAGTATAAAAGGCTAAGGGCTATAACCTAAAGTCTTCTAAGCTAGCTAGGCTAGCTAAGAAGCATTAGTACTACTTCTTAGCTAAGGGCTTAGGGACCTTTATTATCGTAATAGAGGCCTTAGGCTCTAGGGCCTATAAGGGCTCCTAGCTAGCTTTCCTTCTTTTTAAGTTATAATTAGGTCCTATAAGAGCTACTAGGTCTTTAAGGAGGCAGAAGAGCTACGTATATAGCTTAATATAGCTTAAGGCCCCTAAGTTAAAGCCCGAGTCGGCGAGGTTATCCTATATAGCTAGGTCGTAAGCCTGCCTTATAGGGTGACTAGGTAAGAAGTATAGGGTCTAGAGGGCATAGGAGAGGCATACCCTTTCGAATCGTACCTTTAGTAGCGGCAGGGCCGCTTCGGCTTTTAAAGCCCTAATAGGGGATCCTTTAAAGCCCCCTAAGACCTTTAAAAGAGCCTAGTTTTAGAGCCTTTAGAAAGGCTTTATAAGGCTCTTAGGGGTCTTAGGCCCCCTATACTAGAGCTAGGCCCCGTAGTCTACTATAGAGGTTACGTAGGCCTAGTAGAGCTATCTAGAGGCTTTAAATAATAGGCCTTTTTACGTAGAGGTTAGGCGGGACAGTCCTTCGAAGGCAGCTTATACGGAGGCTACCTTCTTCTCGATATATTATTTAAATAGGAGCCTAGAATTAAAGAAGACCCCTAGCCACGTACTAAGGGCTTTGCCTCGAAGAGTAAGCCTCCTACCGTTATACCCTCTAAAATCGGCTGTCGTTGCCTACTAAAGTGGATAAGTTCTGTCTTTGAGGGGTCGAAGTAGACCCCTTGGTCTTTAGCTTGTTCGAATAGGTTAGCAGCTATTGGTTAACACCGAGTTATTAAAGTGCACATCGCCTACTTCGCTGCTGCTTTATATTTGTCTAATAAAGCCCTACACGCAACAATAGTATGTTTCCAAAGTATTTCTAGGTCTTATGACTAACTCAGATCTAGAGATATCTCATGGCTCACCAGAACGAAAAAGGCGACCATTCCTCTGGCGAATATAGTGGAGTGGTGGAGGAGGCGACCGTTGCTGTGTCTGGTAAGCCAAGTCACCTGGCGGCTGCGATCTCGTCTGGGCGGAGCGCCTAGAAAGAAAGAGAAGACAAGAAAGCGAGACGCGCCATGGAACAGGCTATTACATCAGGCAATAGTGCCAAAACGGATAGGGAAGAGAGGAAAGCAAGGCGGGAAAAGGAGGCGGCAAAAGGCAAGTAATAAAAGGGCGTGCTCAACTATTAAACAACTGCCGGAGATTGTTATTGTATCTCTCATAGTCGTCCAGCTTTGCTTTCACAATCTGGTCGGTATTTTCACACCAGAACTGTGAGAAGGTTTGCTCAACTTGCAGGGACAGACGAGCCTGAAATTTTGGACAGAGATGGTCAGCAACAAGCCAAAATGCTGCGTCCACAGAGGTCAGCGAATGCCAAAACCAGACTCCCTGCGATTCCCAAGTCTCGTGCATGATCTTCGACAGTGAGCCTTCCATACTGCTCTCCTCTTGCTCTAGGATCTGCATGAAACGTCGTCGAACACGATCAAACTCTTCTAGATGTTCCCCTTGTAGTTGAGAGATGGCGCGCCCAGTCAGCCAGTAGGGCACTGACACCATCTCTAGGGGCAGAGCACACATCTCTCCGAGGTCAAAGATACATGTGATATTCCAATCTTTGTCAACAAGAATATTACCGGGATGAACATCCGTGAGTTGGACGCCAAAGGGTCCATTGCGGCGCTCTCTCTGCACAAAATGATGTGACATTATCCGCAGCAATGCCCTAATAGCCATTTGGCTGCGGCAGTCCTCTTCCTCGTCGGTCGCGCTGGGGTTGCTAAGCAGACGGTTATCGTGAAGATGTATCATATCTGCCACAAACGGTTCTGTGCACCCGTAAGTCTCATCTGTCCGCATCGTCCTCGGTGTGCCTTCACTCTCAAGTATCATAGTCGAGCATGTAAGCGGTCTGTTCGCAAGCGTTATGGTGCCGTTGTCGTTAAAGCGGAAGGAGCCAATTTTGGGTTGGGGTACTCGAGACAAGGCAAGCATAATACGCGCCATACTTCGACAGAGCGTCTCTAGATGTGCTGGATCCTCTCGCTGCTGGTCCCAGGTATCGGACAGTGTTTGGCCCACTTCCGAGCCCACGTACTCCATGACCATATACGGAGTCGGCAGGTCATGTCTTAAGGGATTCGGTGCAAAGTGCGCCAAGGTAGGGTATCGAAGGATTCGACAGAGAGCGTGGCGGACCCCTCGCCAAAGCCGTACATGGATTCGAAGGCGGGACTCTTGTGTAAACTGGTCATTGACAGTCAGCGCGATCGAGACAAAGGATAGGCAAGTGCATACATCAGTGTTGTCGGAGAAGCCAAATCCGTATAGGCGAGGGATGCGGATATCAGGGCAGCTCTCTTGCATCCATGCGTACGCGCCAACCTCGCCGCGCATGTTCTCGTCAACCGTGCCAGGATAATACGGTTCCGCATGCATGTGTGGGAGAGGGCATCTCAACAAGAGCCTCTCATTGAAGCTACCGGACACCTGGATAGGTATGCAGACATTGAACCCGCCAGTTATCCATTGCGGTTGGACCTGGCAAGTATCAGAAGGACCTAAGCGGAGATGATGCTTGGTGACTGCAATGATGTCCTTCTCGTGTTGTTGCAAGACGTTGCGAAAATTGTCGGTCTCTGCGGCATGCGCAATTCGTCTGATGACGTCAAAATCTTTGCGTTGTGCCGACTCGTACGCAATAGGATGGCGGTTTGGAAGGTTCAAGGTAGTCGTCATTTTGGTGGTCGAGTGCATCGTCCTCCGTCAAGGGGCCGACCTCGAGGATGGGCTGTAGCTTTCAAGCTTAGGCGCTCAGACCCAGCCAGGCACTAGCCGAAAAGATGCAAGCGCTAGAACCACGTGATCGTGTGTGGGGCGCGTGTTTACCCGGCGAGCTCAGGCCATTGGTAAAGGTCATGTGATGTCTCGAGCAAAATGGCCTGGTGGTCCGTGTCCACGATTTTGGGCGTGATTTAATTAGCATGAACGCAAGACGTGCCTGCAATGCGATAGACACGTAAACCCTGGCCGAGGAAAACAGCATGCAACGCTCAATAGAACCACACTGACTTTGGACAGCATTTATCTACGGTTCGTAGGCTATTTTGGCTGGGATGATGATTGTGCCAAAGTCTTTGTAAGGGTCTTGGCCCGAATGGCTCGTGTCTAGTGTCTAGGTAGTCATACGCAAATCCCAAATTACCACGCGTCCTGCGACACGCTGCATTCGTCTTGGCTCTCTTCCCACTTCTACTTTGACCTTGGTGCACTATCGGCTTTCCCTGTACGCCTGTTGGCGGCCTGATATGGCTCCGACCCTGGACACACGCGCGAAAGACCTGCTTTTGTCTTTAGGGTCCAAGAAGATAATAGACAGGGAGGCATATAGTAATAGGGCGGTAATCGGCACAAGGCAAGACCGAGATGGAATCTCTGATAGCTATGGCACCACGCTTTGATTAAATAAGAGGGGGGATTTCGTTATGAACCGGGGTAGGAGTCCCTAAATCCACAAGCCCCTCGGCTTGTTAGAACCAGGCGGGGAATATCGACGGCACTTGCTTGGTCAGGAAAGTTATTATCTTCCTCTTATTGAGTCCTTAAGATGGGGCTTTGAGGAATAGGCTTGGCTACTTTTAGAAACCCAGAGGCAAATATCAGTGGAATCAAATCTCTTTTGTAATGACGTTACGGAGCCAGTTCAGCAACCTTGGTACCCTTTTTTCCTTCCCTGGTCTTGGGCACCCTGGGTCTGCCCGCACTGGCTGATTCTGCCTCAGCCGTCTCCGCTTCCGCTTCCGCCTCAAGATCATTTGTCAGGACCTCGGGAAGCCTGGCCAGCTGCTCCTCGACTTCTTTTAGCCCGAGCTCTTCGGCTGTGCCGTCGGCTGCTAGCGTTCCTCCCACTTCGGCCGCAGTCCCGCCGATGGTTTCCGTCCCGGCCACTGCCACGCTTTCCGTCAACACGCCGGCCGCATCCGCGACATCCGCGCCCAGAGCTGCCGCCTCGGCTACATCGGCCGCCTCGCCCAAGCCGGGAATGAGGTTGGCAGCAGCGACGGCGGGCAGCATTGCGATGGCCACGGGATGAGCCTTGATGAAACCCCAGGCCTCTTCCAAGAAACCAGCTTCGTGCGGCTGAGCCACCTTGTTCCCGGCCTTGGCCGCCCTGGAATGATCGCTGGTGATGTGAACAGGGGCCTCGAAGACGGGGAACTTGTTGGCCCAGCCCACGGCTGCCCCGTTTTCATTCATAAAGCTAGCAAACTCGTCGAGGGGCTCTTCCGCATCAAGGAGCTGCGGCTGCGGCTTGGCGTTGGCCGTGTACTGGCCATACTTGTTTGCGTCGTACTCCTCATTCTTTTGGAAGAGCTTCTTCTTCTCGCCGAGGGCCTGCTTGAAGTGCTCTTTCAGCTCGTCCTTGTTCACCTTTTGCTCGGGCAGGGCGTAGTCGCGAGGCACCTGGACCCAGCCCATGACCTGCGACCAGGGGATGGCTCCGGCCACGGCAAACTCCTGCTCGGCCTTGTTGGCGTACTCTTCGCCCAGCGTCAGGCCCACGTCAACCATGTTGGGCGAGGCGTGGACGGCGTAGACGACCGGGTCGAAGCCCTCGGTTTGCTTGGCCTTCTCTGTCGCCCACTTCAATGCCGTCCCCAGGTTCTCCGAGGCCGCCAGGTAGAGGGAATCGCCGCGGGCGACATGGCTTCTCAAAGAGGCAGCCGAGGCCTGTGGGTGTGACGAGCCAGCGAGTGGGAGGAATCCCCCCTGTTGCTGGGCCTCTTCCGGCCATAAATAGTCGCCGTAGAAGACGACCCGGGGAGGATTCGTTCTGGGCGCCGCCGGCTCAGCTTGTGGCTTGGGCAGTTGTTGCAGCGCCTGCTCTTCTTCCTCATCCGACTCATCCGACTCATCTGTCGTTTCGTTCTCCTCGACCGGCGCCCCGTTGAACTCACGAACCTTCTTGGCCGCTTTATTAGCCAAGTCGACCTCTTTGGTGAGACCCTCAACCGTCTTCATGAGCTCGGTGACATCCTTCTTGAGATCCGATTGGTCCTCCCAGGCGGTCTGAACCGCAGTGTCCCGATTCGGTGCCCAAACCATGTCGGCGGGTGGGTCTACTGGCTTCCGCTCAAGGATGGCCTTGGCCCTGACCTCGTTGGCAATCAAGCCGACCTTTGCCTGTTCTTGTTCCAGGTAAGCTGTCGCTTGTTGCAGTGCTCGAAGCTTGCCCACGAGTGTCTTGGAGGCCGTTTTCTTGGTGACTCGAACCTGGCGAGCCGCTTCCGTAGCCTGCGTGGCCAGCTCTTGGCCCTTTTTCTTGGATAGCTGCTGAGCCTTCTCCCTGAGGCTCGCGGCCGCTTTGGTGTACGCCATTCGAGTCGCCTCGGCAGCCTCTGTTCTGGCACGCCGAAGAGCACGCCGTACGTCTCCATACTTGGCTGTCGAGATGGTGACCTGTTCTTCGCTGAGCTGAGCCACCTTTTTACCGTCCTTGATCATCTCTTTGACCGCTTTGACAACCAGTTTTGCAACCCCAATGGCATCTTGGGGCTGAGTTCCAGGCTTGTTAATCTCTTCGAGCCACTGCTTGGCCATGTCGGCTGCCTCAGCAACCCTCTTGGAAGCGGCGTCGACCTCCTCAGCGGCCTTCCTAGCCGCCGCCACCCTCTCGGCCTGGTCGGGATACTCGAGCAAGGGAAATTTGCCATTCCATCCCACAATGGAACCTACCCGGTCCATGAACTTGACAGCATGGTCATATGCCGTATTGCCAGGCTCTGTACTCAGGTCGTCAAGCTGTGGCTCCGCGCCGCCGGCCGAGGTTTCCTTGTATTTGTCTTCGACCCACTTGTCGTTACGGACGAAGTCCTTGGTCTGATCATTGATATATTCTTTCAGTTTCTCTTTAGAAATGTCCAATGGCAAAGGCTGCCAACCTCGGATCTGGTCGAAGCGAATGCCGCCTAGCGCGTCATACTCAGCAACCGACTCTGCCATCTTCACCGCATACTTGGCGGTCAAGCTTCTGGCCAAGTCGAAGAAGTTGGGCGTCGCATCAATGTGATAGAGATAGCTTCCTCCCTTGATATTCCTGGTCTTGGCGCGACTTGTGGCGTAAGAGATTGCAGATTCGGGTTTGGCTGATGTCGAGATGTAGGGGGAGACTACGGCGCCCCAATCTTCTTTGTTGTAACGGAGATGTTCCGACAAGCGGTACTTTCTCTCTGGCACGGGAAGGAATGTTGGCAGAAATCCGCCTCGAGCCTCAAGTTCCAGCGGAGTTTGAGTATCGCCGCGGAAAACCACCTTGACTCGATTCTGCTCGCCTGTCGGCGCGGCGAGGCCGCCGCTTGCCCATAGACGAAGCAAGAGGACCACGGACAGGATCAGCCTGACCCAACGCGGATACATGGTGGCAACGAGCTGCTATCCTGCCCCTGGAGGAATAGTCTGGTAGCCAAATGGCATTCAAAAGAGTGACTTGGTGCAAAGAGAGAGAAAAGAGTGACGACTGGGTTGAGTGCTTGCCTCCAACGAAAAATGATCTGCAAGATATGCCGTTTATAATTGCGTACAGGTCATAATGAAAAAGTGTGGCCAGTGACCTTCCTTCTTTCTTTTTCCCATCAAATTCTCACAACACATAGGCTCGCATTACACGTTGTTCCTCAGCCTGGAAGACGCCTCCCACAATAATTACCGCATCATGCCCTCACTTTTCATGCAAATCATCTTATCAACGATTTGCGGTTCTTAATGTGACCCTGAATCGCGATTCTTCGGACAGGTGGGAGTGTTTCTCTGCCTTTACCAGGCATTCGTATACGTGCCTAATAACGGAAATATGAAGCATCGCAATTTCGGCACAAGTGGGCAGTATCATACATTAGCGGGGCGAGATTCTATAAGACTGCAAGGGTGTTAGGAAGAGCTTTTCTAAGGAGTCAGTTGCTTATTAAGACCTTAATGACTCTTGGGAACCGGATGCATGAAGGGCATGACTTATTTATTAGGTTCTGACTCGGGGGTAAAATGCTCTGCTCAGAGGGTAGGGGAAGGTTGGCAATGTAGCAAGGTAGAGAATATTTGTATAGTTATGCAAGTCCATATAATAAGGTATCCATATCTATATAAGCTCCTCTCTTGTCCCGATAGATGACAGGTGTCGAAACGGTTGTTCTGCGGCCTGCCTAATAGGGGAACGCCCGAGGATCAGATGGATGAGCCCAACAAGGCTCTTGACGATGTGTAATTTGATCTGCTATGTGTGGGTATGTGTGTTGAAGCTTAGGGCCTGTGGGGGAGAGTTAGGTAACTTGTAATGCCCCCTTTCCTCCCGTGTCTTGTTGTCAATGCAGCTTAATAGGCCTGATAGCTGCTTAAGACCTACAGATACTTAGAGTGGAAAATTTAATTAATCAATCAGAGAGTTATACCTGCCTCTAATCGAAACAAACTACTACTGAGCATATATATTGCACAACAACACTGCACTTTATAGTTAAAGATTATTACTAGCTATAGAGACCTTGCATTGAGAAGACGGTAGATTGCGCTATTCTGCCCTAGAGAGAGGTTCCGCGGGAGTGGCGCTATATATATTTACATAGAGTATTACTATTTGTCCCGTAGCAAATCTCTATTTAGCCCGACCCGCTAAAGCATAAGTACCTATAGGTTACTAGTTAATACTATATAATAGTTCTATCTCTTAACAGCAAATCTTCAGAAATTTTCTAAAGAGCTTTAACTATAGAAAAGCGTACTCGAGCGCCCGAGCCAGTAGGGGAGGGGTCCCCCTTGGGGAGGGGCCCTACTGTGGGGAGTTATCCCCCGCTCGAGGTGAGCGCGACGTATAAGATAAGTACCTAAAGATGCTTGAGATTTCCCGCGGATAACTAAGCTTCGCAACGCCTAATTAAAAGAGAGGATTTCTGGAGAATCCGGGCCAAACAGAGATTTGCTACGGGACAAATAGTAAGACTCTTTGCGTAACAGGCAGGGATTAACAGGATTCCTTACTAGATAAGCTTAAAATACATATATCGGACTATATATGACTTCCTCGCACATCGTATACGTACATATATATAGCTACACCCGCGGACCCCCAGTCTCTCTTAAGGCCAGGTCTCCATAACTAGTGATACTCCCACTTTTGCCAAGATAGCAGAGTGGAGTTATTCGCGACACGAGGCGGCCCCCGCCTGGTGCGAGCAAACGGGTAACTAGGAGTAGGTATGTATGTCAATAGATGCGTAAGTACTTCGTATAGCAGGCAAATAGATACGGATGATAATGTGTCTTTTGTTGGTGGTGACTCCCGGGTGAGACAATAGTTCGCCCGACTAATGTGTGAATTTTGCCGTCTGCAAAGCCACGTCACCAGACCTTAGGTGGCTTAACAACACGAGGTTTCAGCTTGCCTTGAGCGAGGAAAAGAGCTCCAGCCACCGAGTTTTGAGGGCCTATCCTTTCAAAAGGCTATAGGCACAGCCTTCTTCACTTACTGCCGTCCATCTGCTCCAGCCTCATCAAGACCCTGGACGAGCAATCTCCAGCCCCTAAACCCAAAGGGGGTGGATAAAAAGCTGCTTGCTTCTCCTTCTACCCTCTGCGGCATCCCAAGCGAATGGCATATTCAATACGGTGGTACACGAAGCGCGCCGATGAGCTACCTAAAATCAAGTGAAAAGGTGGGCTGAAAAAAAAATTTATAAGAGCTGCTTCGCTAATTCTTTTATTCTTATTACGTGCGCGCGCAATCAGTAACCACGCAACAGACGGTAAACACAGGCCGCCGCGCCCCCGATCGGGAAGTCGCGTGGCCGGACGGGAACCGATTTTCGATTGGCGGAGCCGGCCGACCGAATTTCGATTGGCCGGCCCCACCCAGGAGCGACCCACACCAGCGCCCGGCCCGGCAACCGGACATTACCTGCCCTACTAACCAACAGACCGACAGGCCGACGCGGCCGCCGCCGCGGCCACGCGGCAGCAACGCGGGAGCCGTGGAGAATAGAGGCGCCTGCGAGCCGGGCCCCCGGAGAGAGACTACTGCCCACAACCCTAGGCCCGGGCTAGCGAGCCCGGGCCGCGGCCGCTCGGGATAGTAGCGGCCACGGCCCGAGAGGGCCTGCGCCGAAATGCGAATGCGCGGGAGAAGCCCGCGGCAGCCGGCGCAAATTTCCTACGTACTGCCACCACGACCTCGTTCGAGGCGGACCCGCACCGAAAGAGGGGAGGGTTTTCCCCTAGGCACTCTAGTTTTTCCCTCCTATTTAACATCGAAGTTCTAGATACCTCTAGCTAGGTCCCTAGCGTAATCTTAATAATAATAATAATAATAATAATATTCTTATTACGTATATTTATTAGTAAAATAAAATATAATAAATATTTATTTTATAGTAGTAATACTATAAGTAATTAGTAATAAAAAAATCTCTATAGTAAAGTAGTAATATATACTACTTATGTTTCTATATTATTTATAGAAATATAAAGTCCCTTTAACTAATTTAAAGTAAGAGATGTATTAAATTTAGCCTTCTCCTAAAGCAACTCATACTATCCCGACGTTTCAACGACACTGTCCCTGTGACGTGAAACTTGACCCGGCTAAGATTCGTGAGATCCAGGTCTGCAATGCAAATAGTTTATCTTTAATCGTTCCTTCTTCTGCTCTTCGAAAATTCGCTGATTCAAAGTCCTTCACGTAAGGCCAAGCGCAAGCGGCGTACCTTTTCCAAGTTATCCCGGAAGGCCGCGCAAGGCTCATGTAGGTCACGACAAATTAATAATACATTTGGATGCTTCGTACATTCTGATGCAAAGTGGCTAGTTTCTGGTGGTCAGGGACAAGCCAGCCATCAGAACAGCTCGACATTAGGGGTGATAGACGAAGGTGAAGATTTTGAAGATTTTGAATGAAGGATGAATCAAATGAATTGAATTTTTTGGATCTTGATTCAAAATCTTCAAGCTCCAATTTTCGCGATTCAAGTTGGGTTTGGGCCAATTCAGGACATTCATGAATGGTTTGAAGGATCCCTAAACGAAGTGAATTTGGTGTGTACCTGAGCGATTGCAAAGATGCCTCAAAAACGCCAATAAGTAGTATATAGTTTTAAGTTATAGCCTTCTAAGAAGTCGATAATCCCGAATACTACAAAAATTAACTTACATAAATACTGATCCGCCTGTCCTAGGCAAATCGACTGAAAATAAGCACTTTCAAAGCTCTGCCGAATCCTCAAAATACGTCGGTACAACGCGTTCGAATCCGCCACTGTACACGGCTACACTCTAGAGCCCCAATCCTCCGAAGCCTCCATTGTATCTAGACAGGGGTTGATATCGCAGACTTATCGGCTTGGGATGCAGGAGGTTTGGGGTAGGGGTTCAGTGGGAGCCTCGGTGGGAGGAAGAGGTTGAGGAGGATTCTCGCCTGAACACAGATTAGCATATACCTACATATATAATGAGGGTATATCCATACATACCATCTTCCAGCTTGCCCGGAATGTGGTCTGGTCTCCAAATAATACTATTGGCAAAGGGCAGGATGTCATACTCCATGGCCGCCTTGATCAACGCCTGATCGATCTTATCTTCCTGAGTATAAGCACTCCGTAAAAGTGTTAGTACTCGCACCGTATCTGCCTTCAAGGCGTGACGGCGGATACCGAATTCGTCTCTACAACCGCTGAAGAGGCGTTCCACGTCAACTTCAGAGCCAGAGACAGAGAAGATCACGCGCCGCCGCAGCCAAAAGTGGCCACTCGACCTTGTGTTCTTTCCACCACTTCAGTAGGAAGTCTGGAGACTTTGCAATAGACTCGTCGAACTCTATTCGAGGAGCTGCAAGCCACCGTTCAAGCTCCGAAATAGGGATCGCCGCGCCCGTCTCCGCCTCCCTCGCCTTCTTCATTTGGATGGCTCTCCATTGCGCAATGGAGACTCCTTGAGGACGCTCAGCTGGCCTGGATTGGCTCATAGTTGAGTTTGTGGCATTCAATGCTGCTAGCTCCGGCCACTCCGTTTTGAAATACTTCTTGACTTTAGCCATAATCTCAGAGTATTGATCCGGTATCATCATTTCCAATTGGTGAGTTTTATAACGCGGATCCAGGATGTGAGCTGCGAATAGCATCATTTGATCGTCAAGCTTCTTCATATAAGTAACGTGTTTTGCTTTGCCCTTCGAGAAGGCGTCTCGAATGGACATATCAAGGTCTGTAAAGTCGCCAACTCCTTCGACTACATCATCAAGGAGAGCTTCCAAATCCCAATAGATATCGAGACTTTGTGAGATCGGCGGCATAACTTCGGAGACTTTCAGAGTGTGGTCTTTAAACGGCTTCAGAACCTTCCACAGTTGATAGAGAGCGACAATCTCTTCTGATAAG